GTAGGTAAGTCAAATGCAGTATGCTGTACACCTTAACCTTATAGTACTGTATGTCAATTATATCTCAATAAGACTGGAAGAAGAAGAAAAATGCTGGTGATGGGGATCTACAAGGTCATTGAGATCAAGTCTCTCATTTAAAACATGAGAGCACTGGTCATGTTGCATATTTTCCATGCTCACCATACACAGACCATTTTGGGCACCTGGGAGACCTCCCCATGAATGTTTGTTGCTAGACAAAGTGAATCGGAAAGACCTCATAAAAAACTGAAATGTAATATTATGGTGGGAACACATATCACCATGTGGCCACATTTAACAGACCTCACCTACCTCACTACTTTGCTCAGACCCAGGCTGGCTGTCCATTTCTAATTTGGTATCTCTCAAAGAATGGTTTGCTAGCCCACTTTTCTTGAGAAACCTTCAGGCAGTTTAAGGTCTGAGCTTGAACGAAAGTTACTCAAAAACAGTTTCTTGGGATTCATAAAGTATTCTCAGCTGTATAACTGATTTTATATCATAAGACCAAAAGAAGAGTCATTTTTAAAAGAATATCTAACCTAAAGTCAACTTTAACTTAGAGTAGATGGCAAATTAAGTACTTACTGTGAAGATAAAAGACACAAGACAACAAAATTAAAAGGAGCTCTAACTGTGCCATTTTTATACAAAAAAGAATACAATATCCTCCATCTCCAGTCAACTAACTGTCTTTCTTACTTCCCCTGCTTTAATGTTCCCTGGCACTTACTACACATGACATATTATATTTACTTATACATACATATTTACTTGTTTATTCAGTCATGACTCAGCTTCCCTCACTGGAATGTAAGTTCCATGAGGGTTCAGATCTGGTCTTGTAATTCACTTATGTGTCCCTAAGGCCTGGAATAGTTTGTCACACATTTGGTCTACAGTACATATTTCTCAACAGATAAGAGAATAAGTAAAACAGATTTGGGCAAGGAGAAGAGCACTCACATGATGTGGATAAGAACGTAGAACATGTGGCTGTCTTTTGCCTGCCGAAAAGAGTTGCCCCTATGTCCACTAGCCATCAAGAATCTCTCTTATTACTGCACAGCTCTTAGAATGGCTATTATCAAAAAGGAAACAAACAGTGTTGGTGAGGATGTAGAGAAAAGGGAACTCTCATACAATGTTGGCGGGAAATGTAAATTGGTACCATCACAATGGAAAACAGTAAGGAGGTTCCTCAAAAATTTAAAAACAGAACCACTATATGATCCAATAATGCCACTTCTGGGTATTTATCCAAAGAATTCAAAACACTAACTCAAAAACATACATGCACTGCTATGCTCATCACAGCACTATTTACATTAGCCAAGGTATAGAAACAACCTAAGTGCCCATCAATGGATGAGCAGATAAAGATGTGAAATATATACATATATACACACATGGCTTCCCAGGTAGTGCCAGTGGTAAAGAACACTCCTGCCAATGCAGGAGACAGATGTAAGTTCATTCCCTGGGTCAGGAAGATCTCCTGGAGGAGGGCACAGCAACCCACTCTAGTATTCTTGCCCAGAGAATCCCCATGGACAGGGGAGCCTGGTGGGCTACAGTCCATAGGGTCACAAAGAGTCAGATATGACTGAAGCAACTTAGCATGTATACAGACACACACACACACACACACACACACAATGGAATATTGGCCATAAAAAAGAATTGCAACAATATGGATGGACCTTAAGAGTATTATGCTAAGTGAAATAAGTCAGACAGAGAAGGCAAATATAATATAATTTCATTCATGTGTGGAATATAAAAACTAAAATAAATAAAGCAAAAGAACATGTAGATACAGAGGATATAGTAGAGGTTATCAGAGGGGAAGGGGCAGGGGTAAAACAGCTTTGTAAAGGGGTCAACTCTATGGTGAAAGATGGAAACTAAACTTTTGGGGGTGAGCACATTGTAGTGTATGTATACAGAAGTAGAAATGTAAAGTTGTACACATGAAATTTATAAACAAGTGTTATCATCATAAAATAAATTCTTCAAAAAAGAATATCTCTCTCACTACTCTGTTTTCATCATCATCAAGAAACCTTTGATTTAACTCTTCCTATGCACATTTATCTACAGATGAGATCACAATTTTGGTTTCCTTGACACAATAATTTTCACTATAAATTAACAGGTTGGCATTTCACCTTTTAAAATGAGTGCACATAACATCTAAAAGAATTCTGAGCAGAATCTCAACCAGGATGAAAACCGGTGGTGAAAGAAGCAAAGACTGGCACACACAGGGCAACTGGATTCTGCCGCTAACTCTTCTTTTGACTCACTTGTGTGGCCGTAAAAAAGAAATCACTTCTCTAGTCTTCAGTTTCCTCATTGAGGCATTGAGCTTGATAAATTTTGAGTTCCTTCCATCTTTCAAAGCTAGGGTTTTATAAAAGTTAATAAATAAGGGTTTTCCATGTATATTTGACTTCCTAAAAGAGGTGTCCACTGGTGTTTCATGTCACTGTCTATTGGCAACATATTGTGACTCACATAGATCATGAGGTCAGCACTTTTCCTAGGATCCATCATCATCACCAGGAAAAAGACAGATGGCATCCTCATTAAAAATCTAAAATGCCAGTGGAGACACTCCCTAGGGAAATGGAGATCACACAGCAACCTGTCCACATTAGAAATTGTACATGTGTATGGGTGTGGGGAGGTGGAAGGAAGTACAAGAGGGAAGGAAAGGCAAAGCAGAAGACAGAGGATGTCCAGGTGATGGAAAGGCAGGCGCCGAGCATGGAGAATCACATTCTCCCATTAGAGCCTGGAGGATGCTTAAGCTTGACCAGTAAGAAGTACCCACAAACTTTTAGTAGATACATGAAACTGTTTTCATGATGAGCTGTGTCACTGTGAGGGAGGGTAAGAGCTGAGTGTCCTATAAATTTATCTTCCTTGGAGGTTTTTGTTATCAATTCACCAAGGCTGCCCCTAGTCTGCTTTCCCTGCAACCCTTTCAGCATTCATTATTTTACTTTCTTTGAGATCTTAATTGTCTGTGTGTGATACAGTTATTGGGCTATCTCTCAAATGTCTACCTTCAGATCAGACTACTCACCAGAGTGCTAGTCTTACACAATGGCTACCTACAAATTAGAACCATTTAGATATCATTACTTTAAACATAATGTGACCCTGTTCCCAACTCACTCTATCACTGACATCGCTAATCCCATTGGGAGGCTTACATCTGAAGTTATCTTTCATTCCTCACAACTCTATCAATAATCATCCACAGCCACTATAAATAGCAATAAACATGCTCAGCAGTCTACTCGCTGCTCAATAAATGTTCACTCGTCTGTTATTTGTATGATGATCTGAAATGATCTGCTCAGTCATTCAAGACTGTTGAGGTTCTTTTCACAGAGATTCATATTCATCTATTTTCTCTCATCTTCACATTAATCCATGTTACCACCCCTGGTGCCTAGAGTATCTTTCTTATCGACTTCCCAATTGCTAATTTTTCCCTGCTTCATAAATAAATTCACAGATTGGTCTTTTTGAAACCGCCTTCATCAGGTTGTAGTTGATTTATAAACCTATGAGGGTTCCTATTTGCCAGTCAGAGTGTTACAAACTCGCTATTTGGCATTAAGAGCTTTGGTCAGCTGCCCCCTCCTCCCCAAGCTACCCGAGATCTGTCTGTAATTTGCCTTATTTTACTCATATTTGTTTGAGCATCAACTATGTGCCAGCCAAGCTCTCTACCACCAGCTACCCTAAAGCATTCCATCTCTTTTCAGTTAAGCCCAGCATGATACTCCCCTGCAGTAACCACAGTGATATCTGCCTTTGGACTTCGCTCCAGTTTTTGCCCTGCCAGGAATCTCCTGCTTTCTGCCAATAAAGATCTGACAGCTCTTCCAAGATGCACCCTCCCCTGAGGGTTCCCCTATGAATGAATCCCTGACCACAACAACCTTCCCCTTTTCCTGAATTCCCTCGGCATCTCACACCAGATATATGTTGCTAAATACTGTTCTCTTACTATTTCACCTGCATTTGTTGGTTTCCCTGATTGAAATTGTGAGCTCTAGAGGAACAGAAGCCAAATCTTCTTTTACTCAGATATGTAATGGAAAAGGGCAGATGCAAGGCCAATAAGGACCTTGATTTTGCACATGGCTCGTGGACAAGGCCCCATGGCCACAGCGTAGGCAATAAAGACCAAAAAAATGTGCACCAAAGACCTAAGGCTACCTCCTAACACAAGACTAGAGATTCAGACATGTTTGGAGAAGTGTTTGTTAAATGCTGAATTAGTTTTTTAAAAACAGTTCAGGTCCCTTATATACTATGTATTCCTCCAGCACAAAAATCTCTACTGAAACACAACGGCCAGTATAATTTACTGAGTCTTAATCACTAATTAGATTTGAAATTTTTTATTCTTCTTGTACAGAATGCTCAGTCCAGCAGAGACATCTCAGCTTTCTCTATGAGAGGTTGCCCCTACCCCTGGCAACTACCTACACTAATATGTAGTACCAGTTCATGCCCTTGAACCAAAAGTTGTGTGACTCTGATAAAGGCCAGATATTTGATATAAGACTACCTTCCCTTCTCCACCCCCTCCAGCTACACAACGTCTTATGTGCTTGCATGCTAAGTCTGCTTCAGTCATGTCTGACTCTCTGGGACCCTATGCATGGACTGTAGCCTGCCAGGCTCCTCTGTCCATAGGATTCTCTAGGCAAGAACACTAGAGTGGGCTGTCAAGCTCTCCTCCAGGGGATCTTCCCTACCCAGGGATCTGAACCCATGTCATTCAGGTCTCCTGCATTGGTAGGTGGGTTCTTTACCACTAGCGCCACCTGAGAAGCCCCATGATGACTTATCCAAACCTAAAACTCCACCGGATAATGCGCAGCCCCTTTCAGAAAGCAGAGAACATGCCCCTTGCAGAAGGAGTGCAGAGAGGGAAACAGACTTACCCTCACATAGTAGTTCATGCCCAGCCCCAACAGGTGCTGCAGAAAGTGTCTGTCCTGTCTGTTCCGGGGGGTTGGTTCCCCAGGGCCGGGAAGTGGGCAGGCGTCAGGAGTTAAAGAGGTCGCCCTGTGCCCCAGGGGGTCCCGCTGAGGTGGAGGTGCTGGCACGGCCCTATTGAGACTGGTTTCAGGGGCAGCCGGGCTGCTGGGAGCCGGGTCCTGGCTTTCCTGGAGCTTGAGTCGAGGTACCTCTTTGGTACCCAAACAAAAGTTTTTCAGACTCAGCAAGGTGGCTGGGTTGGCCAGCTTTACGCTGGCCAAGCGAGGGATCAAGGTGCACAATGGGGTGGGGCTCTCCTGGGACGCCAAGGCAGCATCTTCAGCGGGCAGGTGAGATGCCAGGGCGGGGTAAGGAGGCTGCGGCGAGCCCTTGCTCCCGGTCGAGCCTCCCGGGCTGCCTTCGTCCAAGGACGTGATGGACTCATTCCGAAAGCGGCTGTACTTGGCCCTGTGCAGCATCCCGGGGTGCCCGAAGAGTCCTACATATAGCACGAGTCCTGCCAGGCTGTCCTGACCGCCTCCTCGCATAGCCTTGGCAGTGCTGAAACAGGATACTGTTGCATAAATCGCCTCGCCGTCTGCTAGATAAACGGAACGGAAAACAAATGCCTCAATGCCCCGTGCAACTTGCGGCAGCCACCTCTCCAACTCCGCTCTCGCGCTCGCCTGCCTCGGCTCCGGGTCCTCGAGGGTAACAGCCCAGGGGAAAACGCCTACCCAGCTGATTTCGGTCCCGTCTGTGGCCCAGCGGCAGCACCCGATGTTCTCGCCGGGGATTCCTTGCTGGGAAAGCTTGGACCCAGCCTCGCGGCGGCGAGGATCGCTCACCTCCTACTCTTGGGCACGGAACCGGGCGAAGAACCAGCCAGCCGGTCCCGCCGCGTCGCAGGCGGTGCGGGAGCCTTGCAGAAATATTTAGCGCCCCCCACCCCCATCCTCCCTTCTGCACACAGGAACTTTCAAACCTGCTCCCTCCGGTTCCCACAGGGCGGGGCCATGTCTGGCCTATTAACCCTTTATTTGTTCCAGCGATTGTTCATTAAAAAAAAAAAAAAGGAAATGTCTATATGAGCCAAAGGCCCTTCTGCCTGAGTTCGTTTCTCCTGATGGCTGCCCTCTCTTGGAAGATCTTGTCTTGCATCCCATCTGGGCCTCAAGCCAGCAGTACTAGTGACAGGCGCTCCTCCGCATTATTTCTCTGACTTGTGGTCCTTCCGTGTTCCTCAGATCCCCTCCCAGCCTGCCCACCCTGGCTCGGAGCTTCCCTCCCTCCCCGACTCCTCTCAGAGCCTTCAGAAGCCTCTCTGCAACAGAAGGCTGAAATGTGCAGGATGATACGCAGCGTGTTGAAATTTTTATGAATGAACTTTGCTGAATGAATTTCTCTCTGTGTGTGCAAGCTAATAAATCTGTGAATGAAGCTGAGAATAGCTGTAATTGACTGATGGTCTCAGGGGTGCTTGGTTTTTATCCAATCAAAGGGCAGCTTGATGACTCATGCACCATAAATATACTAAACTAGTAGCCAGGAGAAATAAAGCTGGAGGAAGAGAAGGGAGAGATTTTATTTTGTGATAACAATGAAGGGGTTAAAGGGTAAAGCAATCTTTAGTATAAGTCATCAGTAAGCTGGGCAGCAGGTTAAAATGTCCATTTTCTTTTTTGCTGAGATGGCTGGGAAAGCCAAGCAGAAGAACTAAAAATTAGATCCATTGTTCCACAGATATTAGAACATATAGTACACAACTCCTGTGGGAAGCCCATGATGCATTCTTCTTAGAAACATAGTTCTTTTTTATTGATTGCTGATTCCATCTCCCTCTGGTACCACTTCCTGTACCTATCAAATGCATTCTGAAGACATGATGACAACTGCAAGAGGCTTAGCACACACCAATCCAGGAAAGGAGCTGAGAAAGGGAAATGCAGGTTCTTTCTGGAATGGAGAAGAGGAAAGTGCTGAAACACAGAGGATGTGGAAAGCACATAGCAGAAGAGAGAAGAAAATCTCAGCTTAAAGTTACATTTCTTGGTGGGCCAAGGCTCTTGCATCTGAAATTGCTCATTAATTCAAAAATTAAAACAAATCAGCTGCCCCTGGAGTCAGGGACACCACCTTCACTGTTTTACTGCCCACAAGACTGCATTAGGCTCATGTGTATTTATGACTCTGGTGGCCTGAACTCCCTTGAGATCCAAACACAATTAAATGGTTACTCCTGACCAGCTAAAAATGCATCCTCACTGACTTCCTGCTCCCCTCCCCCTGGCTCGCCCCAGAAATTCTGCACCTTTTCACATCCTGTCTGCCAAACCTGTTAGAATGGTTTTTCCTTGGGAAGGCCTTTTTGCATCTTCATAAATTTTCCCATCAATGTTCAGTGACCTCCTCTCTCTGCTATCAGACCTCCTCCTGACAAAACTGAGGGGAGTGACTAAGCCAGTTGGACTCCACATCCTTGGAGCTGAGGAGACAGGCTCTGAGCAAAATCGTAAAAGCAGATTTCCTTTTTCTTTCCACCTCACCTCTTTTCTCCCACGGGTCCCTCCTAGTTGTTACAGATCCCATGCTATGCTGCCTTGAGAAAGTTACTTTACCTCTCTGTGCCTGAATGCCCTCATCTGTTAGGAACAGCTGCCTAATGGAGATGCTATACCGGCTCACGAGATAACCCCTGTAGGGCACTTGGCACCATGCGCCACAACCTGCCTGCCTCACCAGGTATATGACTGGCAGTGTAAAGAAAGGCCATTTGAACCTGGGTTGCCTGCCCCTGAAGCTGGTACTCTTACTCCCTACAGAGTAGAGTCTACTCCATCCTAGGCAACTAAAAAGAAAAATTAGCACAAAGTAGGCGAAGTTGGGGCTTCCCTGGAAGCTCAGCTGATTAAGAATCTGCCTGCAATGCAGGAGACCCAGGTCTGATTCCTGGCTCGGGAAGATCCCCTGGAAGGGGGAGAGGCTGCCCACTCCAGCATTCCTGTGCTTCTCTGCTGACTCAGACAGTAAAGAATCCACCTGCAGCGTGGGAGACCTGGGTTCAATCCCTGGGTTGGAGGGCATGGCAACTCACTCTGGTGTTCTTGCCTGAAAATCCCCATGGACAGAGGAGCCTGACAGGCTACAGCCCATAGGGTCACAAAGAGTTGGACATGACTGAGCAGCTAAGCACAGCACAGGAGAAGTTGAGGAAGCCAGCACAGTTCAAAGAAACTATGTCCTAACATTCACATGGGCCTGGACAAGGAAGGAACAATAGGAGTCCACCAGGCTGATGTGAATCTTTGCTGAGGTCTTCATGCCTAGGTTTGATCCCTGGGGTCAATACCTGGGTTCAATCCCTGGGTTGGGAAGATCCCCTGAGAAGGGAAAGGCTACCCTCTCTAGTATTCTGGCCTGGAGAACTCCATGGACTGTATAGTCCATGGGGTCTCATAGAGTTGGACATGATTGAGCGATTTTCACTCCATGCCTTGAGGACGGGGTACCCCAGGAGAGCCTGCTCACCCAGGCAGGCACTGTTCTGGCCGGGGGCTCAGACCAGTCCCTGTCCTTCAGGAATGAGTCCCAGAGAGGGTGAGGAGGGAGGGGCACCGCGTGGGACCAGGTACGGTAGGAAAACAGCCATGGCCTCTGTGGTTGGCTTCTCTGCCCCTGAGGACCCTGGAAATCTTGGCTTTCATAGTCATCTCTGCCTGGGCCTTTCATGAGGGTGAAAGAAACCAGATCTGCAGCTGGGGAGTGGGGAACGGCCTTAGAGGCTCAGCCAGCCCAGCAAGGCAGCTTTCGGCCCAAAGGCAGAAGCTGAAAAACTGCCCTAACAACCTCAGAGCAGGTTCATTAACTGAGTAGATCTCCATTCCAGGTGGGTGGGTGGGCAAAGCAGATAACTTCCTTTTTCCCAGGATGGATGTCAGAACATCCTCTTCGATTAGTAACAATGAAAATAATATTAACGAGACCAAAGAATTATGGAACAAAAGACAGTTTACCTTCCTTCACATTCAATCATTACAACTTTTGAAGACCAGCACTGTTTTCATCACCGCCTTCAGATGTGGAATATAGGATCAGAGCAAGTTCAGTGACTTGGCCAAGGTCCCCTGCCTGTTGAGCAATGATGCCAGGAGCCCGCCAGCAGCTCTGCCTGGCTGCACAGCCTGTGCTGCAGCCACTGTACTCCACGGCCTCCCGGGGCACCAGTGAGCTCAAGCCTAGATCCCAGGCCTGTCATCTCTGTGCTGCAGAAGACACAGTCAAGGTTCGAATTTATAGTAAGCTGCTCTGACGTATGGGCTTGTACAGGCCCCGCAGTGGTCTCCAGTAGAACCAAGTGCTGACTCGTGACAGCCGCATGCCTTCCCCTGCTGTGACGGCAGCCAGTGTGTGCAACACCCTAACTTGCTCAGTGTGAGCAACACCTGGCGCTCACTGTCAGTGTTTGCTCCCCTCTCCTCTTCGCAGAGCATATCTGTAAAATTCACACAAAATACCTCACAGGACTGCCAGGAGTGAAAATATGAATAATAGACGAGGAAACGATGATTGCCATTAAACCATCAGAGTCCATTAACCCCTCTCATCCCCACCCTTGGAAAGCAAGGTTCTGCTTAGACCACTGTGGATGCCATCTCTGCTTTGAGACACACGCAACTCACCCCTTCCAAGGCTGCCTTGCTGTGAATCAAAATGTCACCTTAAGGGACAGCCTGCCCAGGCTGGGTTCCTTGTGTATAACAGGCAGTTTCAAGGAAGTGCTGGGTCAGGGTGGGCCATGATAGAATTAGCCAGATCCTGCTAGGGTGTCTTAGAGGAGTGAGGGAGAAGGGGACCTGGGCAAAAATCCTTGCCCAACTTTGGAAGAGAACCCAATGTGGGAGCTGGGGTAGAGGAAGGACATGCTAGAGAGTAGAGGAAGGTGGAAATCGAACAAGACAGAAATAACTGTGGGAGATCCTGGACCAGTTGCCACCTTGGCATGAAGTGCAGCAGGTGGCATCAGAGTACTAAGACTCTTACTCCAGCCACGGATACCATCTCTATCACAAAGCAGATGGACTCCTGAAGAGCTGTCTTTGGGCAATACCTACTCCTGAAGAATTTTCACTAAGGATGAGTCCAACAGCCAATCAGTGGGGAATGAAAACATTGGTGAGGCTCTACTTTAGAAAAAAAAATTTCCACAAGACAATATTTATATTCAAAGTTCTTGGCAGAGACCAATGCTATTTCAAAGATGAGGAAGTGAGGTAGTGAAAAAGGCTTGGGTTTCCAACAATCAGAGCCTAGCTTCAAAAAATGGAGGCAGAGTTTCCCCTAGTGTCATTAACTCTGAGAACAGCATCTCCTTTTTGCCTGCTGAACCCAGTGTTTCCAGTTTTCCCATGGTCTTCAACCTGGGTAGGTAAACGGCTCTCTAATCGTTGCCGTTGGCCCTCACTGACTCTCCTGGAATCAGGACCACCTAGAAACAGGAAAATGGATATCCTCCCATCTGTTGAAAATGGGATAATATACACGAAAGCGC